GTACTATCCTAGCATCGGCAGGTAAAATGAACGACACAGATTTGTATATGGTTTTTGACTTTTTATATTCCACGCACCAAGGGCTTGCTAATCTTATTTAATCTCAGCATTATGTTTTGCATAGGTGTTATTTTCAAGCTTAACTAGTAATATAAAGGCATAAAACAGGCGAGGGTTTATTTAGGGCTGTGAAGTGTGAGTTTTGTGTGTGTTTTTTGTCTGTCTGTGTTCAAGCCTGCCACTGTGATTCTTGTTGTTTCTCTTAGGACAGCAGCGCTCTCGTATGTTAGCCACACTCTTCAAGGATGAGAGATGCCAGCAGCTTGCAGCCTATGGGATCCTGGAGAAGATGTATCTGGACAGGATTATCCGAGGCAGTCAGCTACAGGAGTTTGCTGCTATGCTTATGCCACACCAGAAAGCCACCACAGCTGATGGTACATATTTCTTTAAAGCCTAAAATGATTCAGTGGGAGCATTTACACAAGATACTTTACTGCAGAACTAACTAATTAGCTCCAAGGTTAGGCATCACCATATATACGTACACCCTTATTAGGCCACAGTAAACTAAATAACTGCTACAGGGCAGGGGCTGCCTGCTGGTTGGCTTTGCACTGTAGTACACTCGTGCCTCAACAGCCCCTCTATAGCACATTTAGCTGGGGGAGAGCAGCTCTGGTCTGGCAGGCTGACACCCCAGAACTGGCAGGCTGACTCTTAATGTGCTGCTGTTTCAGGTTCATGAGTAAATGCTGCACCTGGGAGCAATGAACTTGGGTGCAAACTGTGCCAAAGTTTATTGCGTTGCATTAATATCACTTGTAGATGTGCCCAGCATGTCTAAATTCAAGCAACTTACCCATTATAGACTTGTCAACCATGTACTATAATGCAGTAGGATAGAGCTGTCCAGTTTTTAAGAGGCCAGGGCCATGACCCAGAGGCCACACATGGGTGAGCCAGGCCCACCATTGCTGCTTCCGTGTGCACCTGCGCTGCACCTCACCCCTCCTGCATTGTGCAGGCACCTCCTTCTAACTGCTGCACCTCGTCCCAAACCTCACCTCCCCACCCCGAACAGTCAGTGGAAATTGGGAGGGAGTGGGGAGCCCAGGGACTGGCTGCTAGTACAGGAGCCTGGGGACTGCAACTCAACCTGTTGCAGGCCACCAGTTAGACACCCCAGTAGTAGACTATACAAATAGTTTGTTTGATACTTGAAAATTGTTTTGTTGCAGTTTTCAGGATTCCATATTCTTTAAATCTTTTCAGTAATTTTGTCTTCTGATAAGTAATGCTGTTGAAAGACAGCTTGTTATGGGTAGCAGCTTGGTGCACACAAACATTTAGCAAAGGATATCTTTAGTGCAAGACCTTGTTTGCAGCCTTAATAGTGAACTGTCATTTCACTCTAAGGTTCCAGTATCCTAGACAGAGCTGTCATTGAGCACAACCTGTTATCTGCAAGCAAACTGTACAATAATATTACCTTTGAAGAGCTTGGAGCATTACTAGAGATCCCCGCAGCCAAGGTACCTTACTTGATTCCTTTACGATGCATTTTGGATTTGAGAAGTAAGTTCCATTGGCAGACTATTAACAGGTACTTATGCCTATCACTTCCACCTGTTCATACTGTTCATCCTTATGTTTTGTTGTGGTATGAAATGGAAGTTCTTGTTCAAAGGTCTGTACTGAGACAAGAGTTACAGTAAACAGGTTACTAGTCTCATCCAGCCCAGTCATTGCTACTGTGCACTGCCTTTAGGAGATTTGGTCTTTCATTTGCAAAGCTAATGCAACTCAAAATGCTGGGGAAGCTAAACTTGTAGTGCATGTTGTGGGGAGGAGGAGCAGGTCTTCACCTGACCTTACTCAGCAACAGCCACAGGAAATGGATAAGCAGTGGTGCTGACTGCTTCCAAAGGAAAAGTCCATCTGATTTTTCTCTGGACCATTCCCAAGGTGGCAATGATATAGGGCACTGAAGGAATGAGTGGTGGGAATTTGTAAGGGCCAGGGATCCTTTAAGCAGCTTCATAAATCATTTAGAAACAAAATGGATATACATCTCACTGTCTCTTCTCTGTTTTCCAGGCAGAAAAGATAGCTTCCCAGATGATAACTGAAAGCCGCATGAACGGATTTATTGATCAAATAGATGGAATCGTTCATTTTGAAAGTAAGATCATCCCTCACATTTTCCTAATGCAGGTCAATATTAATTGGTTGAGTTGTATTCTACAAGATGAACCTTTGCACTTCAAAATGAGGGTCTCCTGCATCAGGGGGTGCCGACCTGCAGCACAAGTGACACTAGTGGCACTAGCAGCATCTTTGTGGGGCACAGGGCAGATCAAGGAAGGGACAGGCAACACAACAGCAGATTGGGCAGGGGAAGCCGATTGGAGTGGCACTCAGGAGGGCCCAGGGCTTAATTTGTGGTATACCTGCCAAAAAAGGTTTGCTCCCACTGTTTTAGACAAAGTGAAAAACACTTTTCTCAGAAGCAGGTGTGAGTTCTTGTCTTGTGTAGCCAGCAGAGGGCAGAGTTTGTATTGCAAATAGTAGCCCTAGACTAGAGTCAGCTATTTACAGCATCTTGCTTCTTGAAAGAGCTGACCTGTTTCACATGCAGATGGGATTGTATAAGATTACAAAAAATATTTCATCCTGTCAGTCTTCTTATACATACACGCTCAGTGGGAAATTCTGTATTCACTTCTTCATGGTGTAGTATCTAACTTACCATATGTTGAAGGGCTTCCGTTTTGAAATAATTGCCCTACAGACACTTTGTTTGTAGCCTACTTGGAAGTGGTAATAGATATTGAGTGACAGGACTCAGTCTGCTTCTGCATATTTTTCATTTTTTACAGGTCGTGAAGCTTTGCCAACATGGGACAAACAGATTCAATCACTATGTTTCCAAGTAAACAACCTTCTGGAAAAGATAAGTCAGACGGCCCCTGAATGGACCGCACAGGCTATGGAAGCTCAGATGGCTCAGTAGATGTTTGCTTGGGATCTTCTAATTGCACTGCCCTTCCTATGCAGTGGGAATTTACATGGATTACAAAACAACCACATAATCCATCCCTTCCTTCTTCTGCTAGAACCTTGACTTTGAGCTGTGATTAGGAGTATAGTGTTTTGTTTAAAACTCCTGAAGTTTTATCAACATACCGTTATGGTATCACTGCATCCCAAATGTGCTTTCCTGTGTGACAGCTGTGGCTTAGTAGGACTGAAAGGAGTAACCCCTACAGCAGAATCAGGTTTTGGTTTTGTAATAGTACTCTAACTGAGTTGTGGTCTTGTAACTTTCTATGGATTGTTGTGTTGTGAAACCTTAAGCACCATGCTTTTCTAGTTATGTTTATTCCAATAAAAGGGGGAATAAGGCAGTTAGACTCAGCAGCTCTAGAGTTGCCTTGTTCTATAAATAGTCACAATAATTCATTCCTTTCTGGTTTTTGAGTTTCAGTATACAGATGTTGCAGTATAATGCTAGTCTTCTGTGTTGGCTTTGCAACAAGAAATACTTTGTCTTACAATTCTGGGGACAGGAAAATAACTGTCGGTCTCTTGTGTAGGATAGCAACTAATCACTGATCAGATGAGAGACGTAGATTAAGCTAGTGGAAAAAAGGGAATACTTTTTCCAAGCACATTAGGACAATGAAACTGGTTATTACTGCAGAAGTGGTTATAAAAAGAACACATATACAAGTGAGGCGAAAAACCTTTTATTTTTTCCCTGATAATTCATAGCAAATAAGCCAAAAGTGCTGCCTTGCTTGCTTGCATGTCCTGTAGATCTTGGTATTCTTGCATATAGACTCTGAATATGCAGAAACAAATAGAGGAAACCTGGAGTGACAAGTGGGGGACAAAAAGACAGTTACACGCAAGGCTAAGATGATTAACAATATACACTACCACGAATTGTACTTAAAAGTTTTAAAAGTCTTGCATTTCTTGAATGTTTAACAAATCTCATCACAAGGTAGAACAATATTTTAATTTGAGAAATTTGTCTTAAACAAGGCTACAAAAGTATTGGGACAGGATCTAATGCCTTCAGTCTTAATGGAAAGATGAAGCAAACTGGAGTAAAGTCTTTTCCTTGATTTACTCTAAAATTTTCTGGTTGAGGTTACATTAACCATTGGGCCCTGTATTCATGTTGTTTGGTTCAGGAACCCTAAATGGTTTTCCACAAAAGGTGTCAGGGGAGGGGGGGACTTTGCTCTTGATTTTAGCTTGCATAGACTGCTGATTAGTGCAGTGGCAGATTAAGATTTATTGGGGCCCTGGGCAAACAGAAAATTAGAGGCCCCCCCACACCCTGTTATAAACATTAATGTATCAAAAAGCATTAATAAAAAAAAAAGCACCAACCAAACAAAAACAGCATTCTCCAAATTCTTCAGCTCAGACTCTAAGGAACCCTGCCAAACTCTGGTTTAGGCTTGGACCATCAGTGCACACAGTGTCTCCCTGGGTGCTTCCTTCAGGGCTTTCTCCCCAGCTCCCTGCTACCAAAGTTCCATTGGAAGCTAGAGCTATATTGCCTTTCCAGAAGAGCTCCTATAGGCTACTGGGAGGTGACGGAGTCCATCCTCCTAACTATCTTCCATCATAAAAATGGGGGGAGTCAGCTTCCTGGGTGCCATTAACTGTAGGAGGGACAGGATCTGTGCACAGTGGGAACTATCACTGTGTTCCTTAATTGTGGAGTCTAAGGAGGGATGTCTCCAGTCTATGGGAGGTGGGGGCGTGTCTTGAGTCTATGTAGGAGTGTCTTGTGTCTAAGGAGAAGTGTTTCCCATATAAGGAGGGGTGCCCTGAACCTAGAGGGGTTTCAAAAGTATATGGGGCAAGATGCCATGAATGTAAAGGTGTGAGAGCCCCAGCTTCAGCTCTGAGGTAAAGGGTCGGATGAAAACATCCTCCCTCAGCCTTCCTGTGGTCTCATCCTGATCCCTTTGAGCCCAGGGTCCCACTCCATCTTTGCTGCTTGGGTTCCACATGGATTCCACCCAGGTTGTCTTGTAAGGTGGGGGGCAACTGGCCCTGCTGTGGTCTCCTTGCAGAGCTCTAGCAACTCCCAGAAGTGGGCTCTTTCTTTCCCCTTCCCCCTGTGTACCTAGTGCTGCAGCTGCCCCCACTGCCCCGGGTGCGGCATAGCCAGAAGCTGTGGCTGCCTGAAGAGGTGGGAAGGCTTCCCAGCCACCCACCCCCTACGATCCACCCATCACCCCCTACCCCCAGCCTGGGGATCTGCTTTGCCCGTCCCCAGGGTGAACAGATCATGTGCCCCGCCCCCAGCAGCCCAGCCCCAGCCCCAGTGCCAGCCCTGCTGCTGCTGGTGCCAGTGGTGGCCAGGTGGGAGGATGCACCCCTGGCCACTGCTGCTGTTACTGCCGTGTGCCTTGCTGGGCAGTGCTGCTGCCAATGACCTAGACAGCTACCTGCACAGCACCATCCTGGACTGTCCAGCACATTAGAGATTTTTCCCAAGCGGCCCCTGATTGGCAGGGGTCCCTGGGCCCAGGCCCTGCAGGCCTATGTGTTAATCCACCCCTGGTTAGCCCCTGTCCAAGGAAGCTAAATGTGTGGGTTTGAGTCAGAAGAGAATTTCAGTCTCCCACTTCTCAGGCAGCTCCTGTAACTACTTATCTGTTACGGTGACTGCAACTATATTTTGTATGAAAGGTGGTTCGGTTGAAGGTGTTAGGCATTCCCCAAGCAGGCATAGTAGATGAAACCCCTTAAGGGCTTTAGCCACAGGAATGTCTAGATTTTGGATCCTGAGCAGGCTTTTGAATAAGCTGGGCACTGAACTACTCGGCTCAGTCTTGACCAGTTCAATTCTGACTATGTGGAGAAGTGGTACACGATGGGCCTTGAGAATTTGAAAGTCAGACAACAAGGTGCCTGCACAGCTAGGGCAGCAGCTGAGTAAGGGTTTTTAGGAGCACAAATTCAGACTTAAGTACCTAAAGTCCATTAAAGTCCTATATTTGTTCAGATACTCTTTTTTAAATTAAATAAGTACATAAATATAAATAAATAAAAAGCACATGCTTCAGAGGGTACAGTAAAACAGTGGGGTGAGAGAGTGGCTGCTTCCCATGGTACACTGCTACAGCAGATCTAGGTGTCTGCTACTTAGAATACAGGAATTCCATAATCCACCTGCAGGAACTGAGTCACATGGGGCCTCTATAAAACAGAGCCATAGATTTCTCCCCAATCTCTGTTGGCTTTTGAGCTGGTTCATTCCTTTGTGGAATAAGTCAGGCCAAATGTTCATGCCTTTCCCACTGTAGGTATTACATAGTCTGGAATACCTTTGGTTAGCCAACAAGGCTCTTTGCCAGTGGTAATTATCCTTACTGTTGTTTGGTCTTGTGTTTCCTGACTCTGCCAATTGTAGTGATGACCATGCTTTATTTTAGATTGGTTTGAGTCACTAGGGTAAGTCTCATCTTGTATTACAGCGGGCCCTGTAGCACAGACCTCACATTAAAATAAGCTGATGGTACATCTTCTAAGACTTCAGTATCACCCAAAGGATGGACAGATGAGGATAGCTTTATGCTACTATCATCTGCATATTACTGATTCTACGCCAGACTTTTCCATCACACCCCATTTGTCCTAAAACTGATTTTAACTAACACACTGCTCCTCAGGAATATTTTTGATCAAACACGTATACCTAGAAAACCTTTAAACGAACCTTGTTAGAAGATTCCTTGTTCCTTCCTTTTGTTAATGTCTCTCTTTAGCTGACAAGCAGAACACATAGGGCACCATAAGACAGTGCAGCAATCAGAAAGGATGGATCCCTGTTAAAACAACAACAATCACCATCATCATAGACTCCAGACTTCACAGGATTAACTTCTGACCTGTTAAAATAAATAAATAAATAAGATATTAATATCGATCTTGCATATTTCTTAGACAGTTCTGCTATTTGATGGTCTGGCATGCCAGGGGTTGACTCTAGAAATATAAGGATATCACTTGAAAAAAAAGCATATAGCTTACACTCTTGATAGAAAATCTGTTGGAGAAAAAAAGTCTGAAAATGGGGATGATAAATCAAGAGGGGATTGGATAAGTGATGAAGACTGAGCATGAAAAATATACTTTGGGTTAAATAGAGACTGTATAGCTATGGTTATGATATATTTAACACCTGAAGAGCTGCATTAGAAATTGTCAGACATACATTTAATTTAGAGTGATAAAGAAATACCAGTCTTCTCTGAAGAGGCATTAGTTATTTCTTAAGCAAACAGTAAAGCTGTACTATAAAGTGGCATATATTAATAACAAATACATTGTACTTGCGTATTCCATGAACTAGTCATAGAAGATGCATAATCATTGTTTTACATATACTTCATGTTCTTTCCCTAAGTGCAAATCACATAATGCGTTAGTGGTAGCTGAGATTTGACTCTATGCCAGAGGTCAGCATATATTGCTTATGTTGAGCTGGAGCTATGTTGTTCTGGCCCACAGTTTGGAAAGGTTGTAGGCTGCTGTTCTATGCTAATTACCAAACTACATTGCCTCTCATGTTCTAAGGGAAGCCACTTAGCAGTTGGGGACACATGACTGAATTATACCTGGCCTACAAAAAATAGTAAACCATTGTGTTAAATAGGTGATTTGCTGCTTTAGGTGGTGGTTCTTTGAACAGGGGTACAACAAATGATTAAATAGTAACTAACTGGGATACTGTATTTTGTCCGGTAGAGTGTCCTCATAGCCACACTTGAGCCGCAGAGGCAGCATTCATTCATGTCACTTGCAATTTGACATGGGAGACATGGACAACAGAATATTCCACACAGACCTGGGGAGACATAAGACAAAACAACAAATGAGGGTCACTAGATATTTCCACTGAATTCATGCTGATGCTTAGCTCTCATCGCACAAGCAATGTGAAGGTATCTAGAAAATGGAAGGAAAACAGTTGGGATGTACCGTAAACTAGAACTAGCACAAGGGAGGGAGAGGGCTCTACACAACTTGAAAGTGTTGTTGGCTGTAACCTTAGATGTAGTTCTTATAATCTTACTTTGTAAGGGGATATCCACTCCCCAGAAAAGGTGTGTGTTGACTGCAGGAACTGAGCCCATGATTTATTTTGTGTCAAATCCTATTAAAAAACAAGGCTCCATTTTCTTTCAAAGATATAAGTTAATAAAGTGAACCATGGGCAGGAGGCATAATGTTGACCTTGCCTAGCTACATAATAGTAATAGTTACCTGCTTTATCGATGGGGTTGAAGTATGCCTGAAAGCAGTGGGAGTACAAGGGAGGTTTTGCTCTGTGTGTGTGTGTGTGTGTGCGTGCGTGCGTGCGTGCGCGCGCGGACGAATCATCATTGAGTAGCAATGTCCCAGCAGATAGAGGAAACAACACTATAAACTTTAAATAAATAAGGCCCCTGCTACACATTACATATATTACACAATTAACTGGTTAAGTGAACAATAAATTTAGACTGGCCAGATGTGCAAAATAAGATTGGCTGCAAATGCAAAGTATTTATCACAGAACTAACTGTTTAATTGTGTAGTACATCTAGACCAGCCACATGTGCAAAGCAATTATCACACCATAAAAATGACTATGCAGGTATACAAAGAGCCAACCGGCTATAAAGTTAGTGCTTGAAAATATGTAGCAACTCTAGAGCTGGTATCTATCCATCTTTAATTTGAATGTGTAGCAGGGTCCTAAGCAATATATAAAGCCATTCCCAGTAAAAGACTGGTGATGACACAAATCATAGAGTCAACCCAAAACAAGTTTGAAATAGTAATATATCCACTTACACACTCCAAAGTCACTGCAACACTCCAGTAGCCCTGTCTGCCAGTAATTTCTTGACAAACTGGTAACAGCAACAATTTGGGGCTGAATTGTGATAGCATGTGGGTTGGCCATTTTTAATATTAGTGGATCAGGTCAGAAGTTTATATCCTGGAAAGGAAAAAAAAAGGGAGAAGTTTTAAAGGTGTATTATCGACTACACTGCACACAGTGATGGCATCTAATGTCATCATGCTGATACAACGAAGGAAGTGACGCGTGTCTGTAAAACAGTACTGTTCCTCAATTTTCTCGAAACAGTGCTCAAAAACCTAGATAATTTTGATGGATGCAGTGAGCCAAGCTGTAGTCAATGGCATTAGACCCAGGATGAATGAAGCCAACATTTTTAATCCAAAAGCACATTTTCCCATAGCATCACAGGAGTTATTTCTCAAAGAAAAGCTTGCCATAGACTGAATGGCCAACAGCTCTCCTAGGAACACTGGTTCCATAGCTGTTTCCAGATGAGTTCTGTCCTGCTCAGCATTGCAACACAGCATACCATAGACATTACTGTAGAAACATAATTTTCTCTCACTACAATTCTTAAAGGGGCTCTCTCCCTGGGAAGATTTTCCTACTCTCAGCCAAATTCTGAGACTTTGCTCAGGCTAATACTTTGAACCTCAGTGGTTATTTGAGTCAGGACTATATCTAGTATCAATAAGGGATAATGTCTTCTAGTTTAAATAGCACTTTTGACCTCCCCAATATATTTTTAAAAAGCAAGCATATCCCCTCCCAGCCTTTCTTTTGCTTGATAAATAACCCTAACTCTTTTATTCTCACCTCATGGGATAGGCTTTCCATTTTACTCATCATCCTAGTAGCCATACTCTATACCTCGTCCAGTTTTAATTCACCTTCCTTGAACATAGGTGACCAGAACTGCACATGGAACTGCACATGGCAGACTGGATCACTTTTCCCCACTCAGACAAGATGGTCATCCAGTGCAGGTTGTCTCTTATGTATCTCATCATTTTCCTTCTTAGGCTTTGCACCCTTGTCATTTCCATTGCATTGTCCTCTCTTCTTGTTGGATAAGCTGCTCTTCCTTTCTTTATTGCTATCCCATCTTTTCTTTTCTGCTTGCTGCCCCCGTCTCCTTCAGCATCACCCTCAACTCTTCCACTTACCAGTTTCCTCCTCTGCCCTTTTCTCTTGGTCATGTGCTTCTGTGAGTCAGACTCACAATCCAAGGCTGGCCATCTATGTTCTCACTGTTTATCAGACACCTGTAAATCTCAAATTGCCCATGCAGCTTCCTCTCTTCTTATATTCCCATCCAAATTATTTTCCTCACAATTTCCCTTTGATTGGCTCCCTCAAACATTGTATTGGGTATAGAAAAGCTCTCAGCAGGTATCCCTCTCAAGGATGATATATATCCTGCAGCTGCTGCATCCAGTTCGCTGTTTCTCCACTGTTCAAGGGACCTCCCACTGATGCCTCCATAGCTATTCTTGCCTTCTCTTCCTTGCCCCTACTTGTTAAGACAAGCCCAGGCTTGTAGCTCCCATGCAAAAACTCCTCTGTTCACTGTACTTTTGTCATGGGACTACCCCGCTTGCTGGCTGCTGGGCTTTTTTAACCTTTTGCCTTGGTCACCCTTGAGTCCTTATTTAGGTTCAGTAGGTAGGTGTGTTAGGCAATGACCAAAGCAAGAGTCCTCCATCACGCTTAGCTGAAAAGCTTGTGTCCAATTCAAAACCTGCAGCCTCCCCACACTCTTTGGAAAGCACTACAAACAAAAACTAAACCACAGACCCAGCAACAGCCTTTGGAAAACAAAGCTTCAAGTTAAAAAATTATTTTAGTAATATTAATTTCTGAAGATCAGAAACTGTATGTAGTGTTTTCACTCAAAATACCCCAGGCCAAATTCTGCCCTATGTTACACCTCTTCACTGATGCCAAAATGATTGGAGCTATAAGAGAAGGCTGATAAATATATATCAGTTCTTGTTTCTTCTTCCATTTACAAACATCTGGAAAAGGTAATTTAATTCTGTTAAAAAATTAGACTGCTCTTCTCCACACAACTGCACAAGCCATTTCAGAAACAACCCCAACTTCAAAACAGTGGTTAAAAAACTCTCCTCTAATCTACAGAATGTATTTTGACTGAGCATACATACTTAGAGCATTCATCACTGCAGTACCTGAGGCCAGCTGCAGACATTACACCTTTTCCCACTTATGTGGTCAGAAACTGGTCTATACCCATAACAGAACAGAAGTTTGGAGCATATAGATTGGTTTATTTTAATCTGATATGATTTCTCATTTTTCCAGTTGGAGCCATGTTCTAAGCATTACAAAAACATGATTTTAACTTGACATGACTTGAAGGAGTATACCTTGCTTAGATAACATGATTTCCATCTCTTTGAATGTATAGTCTGGTGGTAATATTAAAATTAAAGTAAAATTAATCCTGTTCAAATGAATCCTGTTCAATCCACATGGCTGCACTACTCAGATAAGTGAAGTCAATTCAGAAATAACACCAACTTCAAAACTTTAGTTTAAAAAATCTACTCTGATCTACAGAACTTATTTTGCTTGAGCCTGTGTACTTAGAGTATTCATCACTGCAGTATCTGAGATCACGTGCAGACATTGCACTTTTTCTGGTTTAGGTGGTCAGAAACCAGTGTATAACAATAACAGAACAGGAGTTGGAGGTCATAGACTGGTTTAAAAATGGCAGATCCCACAGTCCTTGAGATTCAAACTGTGATGCCTGCAACCAATCCTGTCAGAGTCAGAATTGGCCATGTGGCTCCAGGAAAATAATTTTGAACAACATTTGTCTCTGAGCATTCTTGGGAAAACAAAGGAAACAACCCCAACACACACCAGAAACAAAATCAGGGATCCAGTCTGCTGACTCCTACAAGATGAACATGATGTCTTAAATGTCTTTCAGCCACAGATAGCTCCATTTGTTTGCGTGCTTTCTAATCTCTTCCTGGACATTCAAAAGCCAATAATATGCTGCTGGCAGTAATCATCACTACATGCCTCTCAGTAACCATTTGGATTGTGTGACAGGGGGTGTCCAGACCTTCCACAAGGGAAACAAGTAGGTAGAATGTACAGCCCATCAAAGACAAACTCCCTTCTCTTAAAACATGGATGATATCAAAGTACAGAGGCTAGAAGCTACCTTGAATCTTTTAAAACTCTTCTCTTCCATAACCTCAACACTAAATAATATCTATTTTGTTACCATTAATCATTTGGAAACACAGGCGGCTAAATTTAAACTGCAGCAAAATTCATTTTTTCAATAACAGTATAATTCAATTTAACAGTATAATCCAATTTTCTGAAAAGTATCCAGTTTGATATGCTTATACAATGTAACAATGGCAAGCAACAGCACACAGCACTCCCCCCTTGCTTTTCACTGTGGGCATCTAATTTTGTTAAACTGTTGTAAATTACTCTATTCTCCTATTGCAAGTTGCCCTGAACCTCCATTGGGAAGGGCAGCATATAAATCAAGTAAGTGAATAAAGGAACCGGATAAGATTTGTATCTTATTGTATCTTGCCTTAGCTAATTTGCTGAGCAGAAAACTGAACATGTTCACTCTTTACAACATTCCCTCCCCAAGCAATGAACACCCCAGCAGCTAACAGCTTTCATATGTCTAATGAATCAAACCTTGCCAGAGGGAGTCTCAGATTAAACAAAGAAACATGCACATACCACTTGTAGAGCACTCTTATTCCTGGAGTTCAAGAACTCTTTGGTAGTCAACTCCTTTATGTGTGTTCTTTATGCTAACAGAAAACTGACTCCTTGGCTTCGCAGTCTGTCATTGGTGGTTATAAAAGGGTAGATGTCATGATTTGATATAAGTTGGTAGAACTGTTATTGTTTTTTTTTATGATAAAAAGTTAATGATGATCCAAGGATGAGAGTCTATACTTGCAACACTTTGGAAACTTGAATTTGTTAATACAACGTACTTGGTGCATTTTCTATATATGTCCTTATAACCTTTTTTATACACAAAAAATGTGCTTGGGTAATAGCTAGCATGGGAAACTGAAACTTAAAAAACCTGAACTTGGTAGGATTGCAAGTAGTGTACAAAGTTACTTTCCAATTAAAGAATAAGCAAGCAAGGGACAAAGAATCTTCCTAAATGGAAAGGGAGAATTAAAGAAAAAGAATAAAAGAAAAAGAAGAGGACAGGAAAAATAAAAACTTAAATTTAAGACGATGACAAAGAGTGGTAATAACTCGGTACCTTTACCCACCATATACAGTTTGAATGTCACCAAGCCCCTCCTGTCTTTTTTTCCAGTTATTTCTGGACATGGACATTTATTGCATTGCTTGTCATTGTGTGGGGAAAAATTAAAATAAAACTAATTTTAGCTGAACAATCACATGAAGCCTCCCTGAGAGAAGAATAAAGAGCATAATACACATTGTAGATACATACTGTATTATAGAGAGGAAAATCTGTTGGTACATACCTAAATAAATAACTACAAGTCTTAATAACGAAGTGAATAAAGGCTAATAAAGAATAAACCACATACAGTGGTTTATTCTTGTGTACTTATTGTGTACTTATTGCATTGTGTAATTGTATTGCATTGTGTAATTGTATTGCATTGTGTAATTGTGTACTTATTGCAAAGCAATAAATTCCGGCATAGTTTGAGCTGGAGTAAACTGCTCCTGGGCACAGAGTCTACGTGTGCACCCAGGACAGCAGCAATTTGAGCCAGGGCAGAGCAGTTATGGGCTGGCAGGAGGCATGAGGGGGGTTGGCCCTGGGCTCAAGGTGGCAGCATTGGGCAACAGGGGCTGGCTAGGCCTGGCACAAGGGTGCTGCATGTGCAGAGTTGTGTGGAGAGGCAGGAGGCAGGTGTCTGGCTGGACTGTGTGTAATTTATGCCTGAGGTCAGTGTCTACATATGC